ATTTTGTTCACCCAAACTTTTTTAACCTAAAATCCAACTCCCAACGATAAAGTCAAAGACCCGCAATTGATCCCCTTTCCATTTAGAATAAAGACAAAAAACTCAAGAAGGGCCATAGTAGCAACACAGAAAATATGAATACACCAAAATGTTTTCACTGCGTGAAAAACTTGAACAGTGTTTTGTACAATTGCAAAATAATTGCTTAAGCTTTAAGGACCACATTTCTGCAATTTCTTTACATGAAATGCTAAGTTTGGTATAATTTTCACCACGTTTTTTTCTTTTCCTCCTGTGCGAACATTTTGTAGTTTTGAACACAATTCGCAAGCCGATTCGTAAGATGAAGGTCGCTTGAACGCAAACTTTGACCTCCAATAGTGATATTTCATCAATTCCGCTTCGTTTTTCAGAAGACTGTCTAAGTATCCAGCTAGTTTTGCTATACTGCCGAACTGGTTAGCGTGAATGAACGAACCAGGTAAAAGCTGTTCATACGTCTTCGGCCACCCATTAACTATAGGAATTGCTCCGGCTTCAATTGCATTGAGAAACTTTTCCGTCACATAATCCGAACAATTCGAATTCTCGAACGCTAGATAAAATTTGCAATCTAGCATTTGGCGCTGAGAATTGTCAAAATAGTCCACCCATAATCCTGGAAGTGTGCCGTGATCTATAGTGTTGTTTGATTTGTGCAAACACTTTTTCGTTTGTAAAGCAGCCCCCCAGAAATGAATCGGACCTTTGAGGTGCTGTATCAACTCGTTTCCCATTGAGTTCCGGTTATTCCATGTTGAGTCACAATTCGAAATGATCCAGCAGTATTTTTTGGATCTATTTCGGATATCTTCAACACTGATTTCGACATGCTTTGGGTTAGTAGATCTTTTCTCAATGTGAAAGTATCTTCTGTGAACAGTTGCAAATTGGGATGGAAAAACTGTCCAATTGAAAAGTGAATTTAATTTTGGTACCTTCTCGTAAGGTTTCCAACTGCGATCGTTTAAGGCAGATTCGACTGACCATGCAACCCAAATTTGAGAAGAATCTCTTTGTAAATTTAAAAAATTGTTAGACATGCTGCGAATATCATCAGCAAAACTTGCCATGCCCTCATTTGCAGTTACAATTGCATCAATTGCACTGAAGTTAAGCCTGGTAATAGATGGGAAATTTGGTCTTTGATAGAAAAAACAGTCAAATGATTGGTTGCAAATGTTTCTGTATGACCCGTCGTGCCATAATTCCTTCGTGCCTTCGGTCAAAAGTGGGCGAAATGGATACACGAGAACGCTAATGACATTATCAGCACGTTTAATTTCCAAATTGGGCGCAAAGTTTTGACCTACAGGAAATGACTTTCCGGTGAAACCAGCTGAAACAGGGATCAAGTTTATCAACCTGTTTTTATATTCTCAACAACCGTTGGAAAAGGGAGCAAATAAATGAGATTCGCACAGAAACATACACACAAACAAACACACACACACACACACACACCACACACACACACACACACACACACACACACAGAGAGAGAGAGAGAGAGAAACTATGATGTGATTTTGCTAACTCATGTCAGTGTTAGATTTTACTTTTGTTCCGACTTTCGATACGAAAGTAACGGAATATTTGTGCTCGGGGTGGGTTTTTTCTTCAGACAAATTTCGACTTTTTATTTAGCCATTTTTGGCGGAATTTTCTTATATCATTCAAAAGGTATTGTTGTCCTGAGCTTAAATTTGAAAAGATATTTCACCTGTGATAGTTTTTCGTAAAGTTATGAGGGTTTAAAAAATGCCATTTTGGCCATTTTGACCAATTTGGGACAATTAACGCGCAAAATAATTCGTGCTATTAACGCGTAAGCGAGGTTTAATCCGTCCTATAAATCGTTCCAAATTGGTTGAACGAAGATTATTTGCCACAATTGATTTGCCACGAAATCTATCTTTTTGTACTTTATATGGCGTGTGGGGTGATGATTTTCATAAAAAACTTCAAATTTTAGAAAAAAAAATTCAATTTATTTTATTTTTTTTATTGTTCCGACTTTTGATGCGAAAGTAACGGAATATTTGCGCTCGGGGTGGGTTTTTTATCTTCAGACAAAGTTCGACTTTTTAACTAGCCATTTTTGACGGAATTTTTTTATATCATTCGAAAGGTATTGTTGTCCTGAGCTTAAATTTGAAAAGATATTTTACCTGTGATCACTTTTCGTAAAGTTACGGGGCTTTAAAGCTTGCCATTTTGGCCAATTTGGGACAAATAACGCGCGATATATTTCGCGCTATTAACGCGTAAGCGGAGAGTTAATCCGTCTTAGAAATTGTTCCAAATTGGTTGAAAGAAGCTTATTTGCCAGAATTGATTTGTTACAAGGAGCAAAATTTATCCTTTTGTACTTAATCTGGCGTGTGGGGGGATGATTTTCATTAAAAAATTCAAATTTTAGTTTAAAAAAATTCATTTTGTTTTATTTTATTTATTTCCTAAATGTTATTACTGCTCCATAAACCTTAAAAGGCGGTCGGAACAATCAGGGCTTCGCCCTGATACGAGCAGTCTTCTTTTTTTATGTATTACTGCTGCTCAATAAACCTTAAAAGGCAGTCGGAACATTCAGGGCTTCGCCCTGATACGAGCAGTCTTGTTATTGTTCCGACTATCGATACGAAAGTAACGGAACATTTGTGCTCGGAGTGGGTTTTTTTCTTCAGACAAATTTCGACTTTTTAACTAGCCATTTTTGACGGACTTTTATTATATCATTCGAAAGGTATTGTTGTCCTGAGCTTAAATTTGAAAAGATATTTCACCTGTGATCATTTTTCGTAAAGTTATGAGGGTTTAAAAAATGCCATTTTGGCCATTTTGACCAATTTGGGACAATTAACGCGCAAAATAATTCGTGCTATTAACGCGTAAGCGAGGTTTAATCCGTCCTATAAATTGTTCCAAATTGGTTGAACGAAGATTATTTGCCACAATTGATTTGTTACAAGAAACGAAATCTATCTTTTTTTACTTTATATGGCGTGTGGGGTGATGATTTTCATAAAAAACTTCAAATTTTAGAAAAAAAAAAATTCAATTTATTTTATTTTTTTTATTGTTCCGACTTTTGATGCGAAAGTAACGGAGTATTTGCGCTCGGGGTGGGTTTTTTATCTTCAGACAAAGTTCGACTTTTTAACTAGCCATTTTTGACGGAATTTTTTTATATCATTCGAAAGGTATTGTTGTCCTGAGCTTAAATTTGAAAAGATATTTTACCTGTGATCACTTTTCGTAAAGTTACGGGGCTTTAAAGCTTGCCATTTTGGCCAATTTGGGACAAATAACGCGCGATATATTTCGCGCTATTAACGCGTAAGCGGAGAGTTAATCCGTCTTAGAAATTGTTCCAAATTGGTTGAAAGAAGCTTATTTGCCAGAATTGATTTGTTACAAAGAGCAAAATTTATCCTTTTGTACTTAATCTGGCGTGTGGGGGGATGATTTTCATTAAAAAATTCAAATTTTAGTTTAAAAAAATTCATTTTGTTTTATTTTATTTATTTCTTAAATGTTATTACTGCTCCATAAACCTTAAAAGGCGGTCGGAACAATCAGGGCTTCGCCCTGATACGAGCAGTCTTCTTTTTTTATGTATTACTGCTGCTCAATAAACCTTAAAAGGCAGTCGGAACATTCAGGGCTTCGCCCTGATACGAGCAGTCTTGTTATTGTTCCGACTATCGATACGAAAGTAACGGAACATTTGTGCTCGGAGTGGGTTTTTTTCTTCAGACAAATTTCGACTTTTTAACTAGCCATTTTTGACGGACTTTTATTATATCATTCAAAAGGTATTGTTGTCTTTAGCTCAAATTTGAAAAGATATTTTACCT